CAGGAATGCTGCTGGGGGTGGTTAGTTGCTCTCTGCATCCTCCAGCCTTTGTGTTCACCATGGAGGCAGAGCGAAGACGGCCAGAGGGTGAGAAGCCGTGCTTGGTCTCAGCTTGAGAAGACCAGCAGTTGCAACAGGAGTAGAAAGGCACGGTCCTCGCCCCAGGGACCTGCTGCAGCCCATCGCCGGACCACGCCATGGCAGAAATGGAAAGGCTGCCATGGGATGGCACATCTGCAAGGCCGGACTTGGTTGATCCCCGGCAGCGCGTGCTGGGAGCCATCCCACTGCTCGGGCTTTGTGCTTTGAAGGTTCGGCTGTGAGAGCAGCCATCCTAGAGTCGGGCCACCTCTGCCTGCTTTTCTCAGCGCCAGACCACTGTGTCCGCTTGTCCAGCTGACAGCCGCAGTCCACAGCCACAGTGATGCCAGGGCGAATGCAGGGATCAGGCATCTCCCTGTTATTACAGTAGCTGGGAGTGGGAATTAACCTGGTGAAAGCTGTCCTACAGCAGCCACTGCTAGGCATCAGCACACCTAAAACAGCAGCTAAGGAACCCCTAATGTACCCCCATGCACCAAAAGGGAAACTGAGGTGGTGGGTTAGTGTCAGAGATGGGGTTAGCACCAAGGTGAGGAAACAGGAGGGAACCTGACACGGTCTCTTCTTTTCCCATAACTTTGGGAGGCAAATGAATCATCCTCAAAACAGAACCCGAAAAGAAGACATTAAGTTTTCTCTGATGAGCCTGAGATGCTATCTGCAATCCCTGCCATGGGCTGAATTATCCTAAGAGCCCTGCGGTTTTGCGTGGGAGCAATTAAAAGCAGATCCCGAGTCCCTGCAGGATCACCCAGCAGCTATTTTCAGCAATGCTACATTCATGCACAGTTTCTTTGTTCAAGGAGATGATTTCCTAAAAGAAGCCTGAAATGTGGCAGGTGGAGATAAGGCTGAAAAATAAAAATACAGCTGGTGGGTCAAAAGGGCAAAGAAAAGAAAGACCCCACTTCAAGACTGGCTTAGGGTTCTGAGCAGTCCTGAAGCCATTGACCAGCACAGTCCCGCTGGCATCGGTGAGCCTGCCCTGCCTTACGCCCGCTGGGTATTTGCTGCGGGCCCATTCCTGAAGGAAAAGTTTCATCAAGGTCTCCTCCAGAGATCAGCAAGGCAGAGGAGACCTCGGCTGAACTGGGAGACACTGGCAAAGGTCTCCCCGCAAAGCATCAGCTCCCACGCAGACCAACAGACCCTTCCTGTGTGGTTCCCGTGCAGGCAGCGAGATGCTTTCTCGGGGACCACACGCGCCGCAGTCTCCATGCCAACTGCTTCATTTCCAGTCAAACTTTTTTTTCTTTCCCCTTTTTTTCTCTTTTTTTTTGTGTGTTTAAATAAGGGCGATATTCAGTGAACTGCTGGGGACGGAGGAGGGAGGGCGGGCTGATTCCCAAGGATTGCAGTAATTAGGCGCTTCATACGTTGGCGACAGGCTTGTCATTTGCTAAGCCGGCACTTCGCCGCAGCGCCGTCTCCGGCAGCTCTCCAGCGCTCCCAAGTTAAGCCGCTTTCCAAATGCTTTGACCCAATTTGTCTTAACTGGTAGCCGGATCTGATCCACGCTCATGCAGGAGCTGCCCTCCCGCCTCGGGGGGCTTGCATCCATCCCCAAGCAGAGATGCCTGATGAGTTTTGGGAAAGTTGCAAACATGAGACTTTGTCAGCTCAGAGCAAGCGGGGAGGGACCAGAGACAAATTAAGGTATTTTGGGCTTTCCTTGGCTGGGTCTCTCCAGGAAGAGCTGAACACAGGCTCTTTCAGAGCCCTTTTATCCATATCCAGGTGCCCTGGGGGATGAGGACAGACAGCATCCCCACCCTGGCCGGAGGGGAACTCTCTGAGAATACATTCGCCCTCTCTGACAATACGTCTTTCCCTCTCCTCCAATGCAGCCTCCCATTTTCCTCTCCTCCCTACCCCGCCGGGCATCGCAGCAGCATTCATCTCTCCCCAGGGATACCTGGACAAGCTCTAATTGAATTTTTAAGAAGCAGCTGTAAGAGAGGTGTCAGTGTCTCAAATGTTTGGATTTTGCAGGGGGAAGGCACCGCCAGGAAGAGCTCGGCAGCATCCCGAGAGCCTCTCCGCCATCCCGAACTGAGCCCAGCGCCTGCTTCTCACAGTCCCTGTGAGTGCGTGGGGCTGAGTGATGCTTTGACCCCCCCAGCCGTGTCCTACAAGCTGTTACTGAGGAGTCAAAATCATCCTTGATGTCTCCGAGTGAGTGTTTAAAGTAGCGATTAACTATTCACACTTTAATCTCCCTGAAACAGGCTCCAGCCCTTTGGCATCTTATTTCCATCTCTCTCTGTATCCTTCTAAATATGATTAGCGCAGAAACGCTGATAGCGGAGGTTGGAGCTGCTGCCGAGTATATAAATCCAGGCATTGTGTTAAGGCAGCTAATAGACCAGCTTCTTATTTACTGTCCCTCGGTCCCTCTGTCCTGTCCCTGAAGCCGTTTTATGCAAACTCATTCAAATGAAACCTTCTCTTTAAAGGCTGCTGCTTGGCAGTGTTAACAAACACGGTCTCGTCCACTCTCCTCCGAGGACTGGCTCATTTTAAATGTATAAATGGTGTGAAGGCGGGCCCGGAGTGCTAAACAGGACGAGCCGGAGGCAACCTTCAGCACTGAGGGGTGCTGCTGGAGTTTGGGAAATGTCTTCTCCTCTCCGTCTGGAGATCCTGACTTGGAGAGATGTCACCTCCACCTGGGGCAGGGAGGATGCGCTGCCCTCAGCTGGGAAAGGGCTTCTTCCGAAGTGGCAGAAAGCAGGCAGACCCCAGGGCTGTCCCTGTGCCTGTCCAGCCCTGGGACAGTCGTGGTGCTGTAAAAGGCTGTGGAAGTCCCTTTGCAAAGGGCTTTGTGAGGGAAGGGGCACCCCATTGACCCCGTCCCATACGAAGGCAAAAGCAAAAGGTGCCCAAGGTCACCAGGGAGCATTGGTGCTGAGCTGGAAATAGCATTGCAGGGGCACGGGTGCCTCTGACCACAGCTTCATCCTCTCTCCCTGCCCAGGGGGGGCATGACATTTATGTGGATTTTGGCCCTGCTTTGCAGTTCTCATCCAAGGGGTGGTTTTGAGCACCCACATCCGTGCTCTCCTGCATCAGGGACCCCAGCAATCAGGGCAGGGGTGTCTGCTCCACAGGGGCACTGGAACTGGACCAGCTCCTGCCTTGATGGGGTTTCTAACCTGCTCTGACCTGGTCCTTTGAGCATCTCAGGGCAGGAGTGTGTATATTTTTAGGTGCTGTCTCTGCTGCCTACCTTTGTTGGGAAGGCAATGCTAAATCAGATGAGCAGCAGAGCCAGGAGACGTTACAGCCCCAGCAAGCTGCTGATTAAGTGTTATATTTAACACTTTAAGACAGTATCCGTTTGCTTCCAGCTGGGGTGAAGAAAGACTCCTCAGCGGCAGCTCCCTGCCGTTTTCCTGGCTGAGCCTCATGTGAGACCCTGAGCACTGCTCCCTGCCAGGAGGTTCGACCCTTCTTGTCCCAAATACCTCCTCCCCAAATACCTGAGTCCTAGATCCGCCAGCCCCTGCCAGGTCGGGACCCCCTGCCTGAGGGTCTTGGCTTGCCCTCCCATCAGCAAGGCATGGGTGCTGCCCGCGCCACAGACACCGGTCAGAGTTTTGGCCGGTGTGTATCTATCATCTCCTGTGTCCCAGGAGCAGGGAAATAAAGGGGAATCGTGAATCAACATGTGGATTTTGCTCCAGATGAGTGTGATCTCCCTCCCGCTGCAGAGACGGAGCCTGCAGGGCTTTGTCCCTGGCTGGGGGGGCAGGTTTGGAGCAAGGGGTGTGCAAAGAGATTTCAGCCCCACTTCCCTGCAGAGGACATCGCTCCTCAGAGCTTTCAGTGGAGGTATGCACATCTGCAGGAGCCAGGAGCTTAAATCCCTCTGTGGATCCCTCCTGGCCCCCCATCTGAACTGGAAAACTGCCACCAGCTCCCTGCAGCAGGGCCCTGTCCCCAAAAAGAACACGGCAAGCTGGCTGCTGGGGCGTGGGGGCCAAAAGTACTGGGGATTCAGAAAGGAATTAGGCACATTTGCACTCCCTGGCACCACCAGCCTTACAAATTATGGGGCAAACAGTAAGAGTACCACTGAAGTCTGGCCGTAAGCAGCCTGCACTTCGGCTTGCCCATGGCGGCCACAGCCAGCAGAGTGTTTGTGCTCTCGTCCCCAATGACAAGGGACCTTGTTCATCAGCAATAGGATGGAATGAAAGAGCAAGGAAGCCAATTCTCATAAAACTGTGCACTCTTTGGGCTATCACCTTATAGATTTGTTGCAGCAGCCTCCGAGGCTGTGATGGTTGTGCTAGGTGCTGTACAAGGGAGCCAGACTGCTGAGCTGTGTTTCCTAGGAGTTTATGGATTCACTGGTGTCTGAGAAGGGGTTAAGATTTTCTTTCACAAAGCACTAGTGGGTTGTTATCCTGCGCTCAGGTATCTGTTGCCATGAAACTTTTCATTTTAGGGACCTCTAATCCAAGCTCACTTGAAACCAGCCAATGGATTTTGCAATCATTTGGCAGCACAGACGCACCCACATACACATTTATACACACACGCACACGTACGCAATCCTCATTTCTTTAGGAATGGGGCTAAACCTAAGGATTTTCTCTGGGAAGCTGATCGACATAAAACTCAGTTTGGAGAACCCAGCACATCAGATAAACTCACTCTCTTGTAAACATGAAAGGGTCAGGGCTTGGTCTAAAACCCACCCAAATCAAAGGAGAGACACCAGCCAGCATCCCCAGGCTTTGCACCAGGCTCTTTTTGACCACATGCACACAACGCAGGATGCCCTCACTCACCTATAAAGTCGTGAATGAGATCCTTGATGAGATGCCCGACGATGGCGTACGCCACTGCTACCACCACCAGGGCTGCCATGAGAAGGTAAAGGACAGCCTTGGGCAGAGGAATGGCGTCTCGAGGAGGGGGTTTGTACTCCTTGTAAAGCTGGTCATTGTCCGAGTACGAGTACTGGAACAAGTGGTCCAGGCCAGCCGTGAAGTTGCTGGAGTTCATGGACTGGCTGTTGGATAGGTAGTTGTCCTGTTCGGGGTCCTGGAGGACACTTACCACCGAGCTGGTGGTGGCTTCCACTTGCTGTACCAAGTTCAGAGTCTTGTTAACGCTGGGGAGGATCTGGGAGAGGAAAGTGCTCCAATCTTTGATGGCACTGATGTTGCAAATAATCATAATTGCAATGAGGAAAGAGATCTCCAAGCCCAAGAGATTTAAAAGGGAGAGAAAGAGGCGAGAATTGCCGTGCTCACACCAAACCACGTACCATAAACCGGGCAGAGAAGGTCTTGCTGGGGTAGGTTTCTCATCTGCAAATTCTTATATGATCCGGTAGAGATGCTCTGTGGTACGTCGGTCCTCACTCCTGGAAATGCCCACAGCAAACCCCTACGGGCATGAAGTTCCTTGGGAAAAAGTAGGTGCTGGAATGATTTTGATCGATATCATTTTTGCTCCTCAGCCATTTCTCCCTGATGCTACTCACTGATGAAAACTGGAAAGACAGGATCCTGTAGATATTTTCAGTCATCTGGAAAAGAAAGATAAATTGCCCTTCTCCAGCTTCTTTTCACAGGTGATGGTCCTTGGAGAGACAGAAATCCCCCCTTTGCCGTCCCCCCAGGCTCGGTCTAGGTAACAGCAGGCGCAAGGTGTGCGGTGCGGTGCTGTGACTCTCTCCGTAACGCTGCCCAAAGTGTTCGCAGAGGAGAAACGTATATTCAAAACCCACAAAGTTCAGCCGCTCCCAGTGTGTAACAGAGCCAGCAACACACAGCTCCCAGCTGTGCCAGCCTGGCTTTCAGCAACTTCTTTTGCCAGCATCTCCTGATTGATTCCTTTAAAAACAAAATCATACTCAGAGACGGCGATCGCAACAGCAATGAGCCCAGCGCCTGGTCTCCGAAGGGCAGCTGAGACGAGGAGCGGCCACTCTTGGGTTTTACCTTAAGGACTTTTGCAAGAGACAGATCTACTCGCCTGATGCTCTGGCTTGTTTTATTCAGCACTCGGCTCCTTATGGACCTCCCTGCAAACAGCAACCGATCCGGTGCCGCTGCCTGCCGTCTGCGGGGTGTGCGTGCATGCGTGCGTGTGTGTGTGTGTACACTCCTCCCCGTCCTCTTCCCCTCCCATCCCTTCACCCTACAGCCCTGCTTGCTCTTCCCAGCCACCCTGGCTGCCAGCAGCGAGGGGGATTAGCCGCTGAGAGGTCAGCTCCACAACTCCCAAGCGTGCTGTGAAGCCGGTGATGCCTGGTGGGAGTGTAGGCTCAGCCTCCACCGCTGCTCCCCGGGGAGTTAATCCTTTCAATGCCAAAAGATGTGCCTTGATCTGGCTGCTGGATCGTCCTGGAGAGGTGGAGGGGAAGGTGGGGAGCAGCCAGCGCGTGCGTGTGGGTGTGTGTGGGTACACGCGTGTGCACGGGGGCACAGCCGGCGTGGCCTGGCAGCAGCCCGGGCTCAGACAGCGCTGGGGACGGGTCTGGCGTCCCCTTGGGGATGAGCCCCCAGCTCCAGCCTTTGCGTGGGAGCTGCGCCGCCGGCAGAGAGAAATCTAATCGCAGGCGCTGCCGGGAGGAGGGCGGACATCATCAATCCCACCGCTGGCATCCCAGGGGAGCAATGCTCCCCACAGCCCCGCTCCCCCCCCCAGCCTCCGCCCAACGAAGTTTTGGCATCAGCAGGATGCCTGATTTGCAGAAAGCCCAGAGGATTTGGGGCTGAGCTCCCTCACCATCTGCCCTTAGCTGTCTGTGTAAACTGTTAAGTGCCAGCCTGTCCCTGCTCACCTTGATGATGGGTTTAAACTGGTCCAGGTTCCCTACAAACACATCTCCTCATCCACCTTGGCAATGGGATTTCACTGCGGTGCTGACTTGGTTTGAAGGCACTGGGACTTATTTAAAGAGGAGGAAGAGGAAATCTTAGAGAGGGGGAAATTGTCTTTCTATATTGGGAGGTGAAAATAAATCACAGCTCCATTTTTCACATCTACTTTTTTTTTTTTTTTTTGTGCAGCTTCCCCATGTAAGAAATAGCTGTCACGAGGGCAAGGAAATCACCACATTAGGCCTGAATGAAGCCAAATGGAGCTTCTGAGAAATAATAGCAAAAGATTAACTTTTTTTTTATGTGTGCTGCCAGCCAGCAGTAATCCTGCCAGCTGCCTGAGGGTTGGAAGGGTATAGAATAAAATGGCAACATCTCTCCCTTACAATAAAATCACCAGGGCTCAGGTAGGTGATGGACAGATTGCACAGCACAGGAGCAAAGAAAATGTGGAGGAAAAAGCTTTTCTGCCCCCCTTGGAGTATGCATGGACAAAGTCATAGTGATGTCTGTCCCCCAGGATCATTTTACCGCCTCTTAAAACTTCTTTTCACAAGTGCAACAGAGCTGTGACTGGTTATAGAAACATGTCTGGTAGGTGATGGGCAGCTGCACAGAGACATGTCCTGCAATGGGACATGTACTGATGTACCCCTGCCCCGGTGTCATGATGCCTGGGGTCGTAGCTGCTTCTCTGCCTCTGGAGCATGAAGCTGCACAGATGCTTTGGGGACCGGGGCAGGAGTCAGGAGCTAAGGGCAAATGGCTCTTCTCTCAGACTCTGAGTCCTACCACGCTAGATTTTATCTTTCCAAGAGTGAAAATGTGGCAAGGTTGTATTTTTTAAAGAAACTCTTCAATGCAAGGTGAGTTTTGGGTTCCACACCACAGTGCAGTCTGGCTTTGCCCCAGTCTGGGAGCACATCTTTGGCCGAGGTCCCCAGGAGGAGAGGATAACCCTGGGGACGTGCCCACTGGTCCTTGGGGACTGAAGCTGCTCTGAAGCTGTAGTTTCACCGCAGCTGTTCGGTGTTAGCAGTTGCCATGGCACCAGTGCATCAACCGGAGGGAAAGGGAGAGTGTCTGGTCCGGGCTGAGCCATCTCTGTGGCTGGCTGTGCTACCTGGGGCTCTGGGTGCCACCGTCCTAGCCGAGCTCCCACTATGCTGTGCCCCTTTACTCCCAGGAGGGGACGGAGCTGAGAGATTTGGGACAAACTATTTGCAAAGGTGTTTGTGTGTGAGTGTGGATTAATCAGAGGAACCGAGGGCAAAGGGGGATGCCCTGGCTCTGGAGGTCTTAAGGTCTTCACCACCTTCAAGTGCTTTAATCAGACCTGAGTTAGAGTCCCTGGGGAGCCGTGTCAGGGTCTCTGCCCTGTGTGATATGGGTCAAAACAGCCGAAACAGAGAAATTCATAGGTGGTGAGGACTGTCTGAATGAATGCCTGAACAGGGTTGCAGGTGGGAGACTGCCTCCCTGCCTATAAAATCAGGATAAGAGCAGCCCTTTCCTGCCTGCCATACCATCAGCCAACTGGTTTTTACTCATTTAAAAACAAAGGGAGAATGTACCGAGACCTGGCTGACTTCTTCCCGTCCCCACTGCTTCACAAGTGCTGGCCAAAGGAGCTGTGGTGCTCAGCCATTTCTGAGTCTGTGCACCCCGCCGAGCTGGGGCTGTCAGGGGTTCACTGCCTTTGGGCACCCTTGAAAGCTGAGACCCACAGAGATCCCCTCGCAGAGCCCGCCCAGACTGCCCGGCAGCTCGGCAGTGTGGATGCTGGTGGTCCCTGTCCTGCTCCCCGTGGCCAGGGGCTTGTGGCACAGCTGGCACAGCTGGCACAGCCCTGTCTCCCACTCCTCACACCTGGCTCTCTGGGAAACCGTGTGGCTGTGAATCAGCAAGTCAGAGGATGAAGCAAACCATCAGCTGGCGGCTCACCACTTGCCTGGGGACAGCTGGTGGCAGCAGCCCAGACCTCGTTCCAGTGGGACGGAGGGCAGCCCCCCTCGGTTTCCTAGATCTCCACTGAGCACTTCTGGGAAGAGGCTGGAAAAGCACTTGGGGGAGCTCTGAGGTCTGCTGCAGGCACTGAATTCATTAAAGGGGCTTAGGGTAATAAAAAAATCCCAACAAACCTCCACCTTTCGCATTTCCCTGTGGTGAAAGTAAAGTTGGCCTCTTTCATTTTCATTAACACCCATATCAATTCAAAGTGACTAAATAGATGCTTAATTGTTCATTATACACCCTCTGCATCTCCTGTCTGAAAGGGAGGCTTTATTTCCACGATTACAGTTTCTATCCCATTACAGAGGGAGAAAGCATGGAGAAATATAAAAGTGTGGATTTTAATAACCTGATATTTCAAACTCTCTGTTATTAAAAAGAAATGTTTGCATTTGCTGTGATAGGGGAAGATTAAAAGGATTGCCGTGGATTCCACTTAGGGAACATTGCTAATCATTTCAATAAATCACTTTAAATAAAAATCACAATCTTCACAATTCCATCCAAATGCCATTTGGCAGAGGGGTCGATTATGGGAGCAAAATGAATTTCAGAATTAGCTTCTTGTCCAAATGCAATTGGACAAATTAAATTTAGGGATACACACATATCCAATGATACACATATCTCATGCAGAAGAGCAGTGTTTTGGCCCCTGGGAACACGAACAAATAATGTTTTAGTGGGACAAGAAAGATCTTGTCCCTCATGATGGATGTCGAGTGTTTGTTTCAGCTATTTCCTTAGGATTTTTATTTTATGGCTTACTCTGTACGTAAGTCCAGTCAGAGCGCTGGTGTTTTATTTCCATAGAGGCAGGATCAAACTGACTACTGAGACATGCCTTTGATAATGCTGGTATCCATGCAGAGCTGAAAAAAACCACTCTGACACATTGCGAACGATGCCCTGAGCAGATAGGCTGGTTTCTTGTCTGTGACTGGAACCAGATCTGAAGGTTTCTACGGAAGGTGAAGCCTGAGGTTGTCCTACAGCCCAGGTGCTACACCACGGCTGGAGATCTGCCCCTGCTCCCAGCTCCGCTGCTGGCTGCGTGGCCTCCTTTGTGGCACGTAAGGGATATGGAGGCACCAGGCTGTGGATGTGGCAACAACTGTCAGGTGCAAACTGAGCTGTAGGGGTGGAGAGCAGTGGAGGAGTTCGTTGCTGTGAAGTGTGTCATGGCATAGGAAGGCTTTGTTTCTCACCCTGGCCGACAGCTATCCAGAAGTTGGCTGAGAGTATAATCAGGAGGTGCAGCTCCAGCAGCAATATGTCCATCCATACTTTTGAGTGAGACATTTGTCTGCCCAAGGGTCATTTTTCAGTCTT